TCGCATGAAATAACATTTGAAGGGTTCAAGGTAGAAACTAGTGATGTCAGTTTTTCAAAATTTCTATGTTATCTCCCTTGTGGTTACATTCCATTTAATAGAATAATATGACACATAGGTCCAACCGAAAAAAGCAGCGTAGTCAATAAATAAATACGTAGACATTTTGATATTTTCATACTTTTATGAGGAATTTTCCAACTTTAAATTCAATTTTCTCAAAACGCTCAAAACCTGACATCACTGGGTTTTTCCCTTGAGCCCTTCATTTGGATTACATTGATTTTTTTGTTTAAATTTTATATATATATATATATCCGTTTGAATACAGATTTCCAAAATGTCGCATACTTCATGTTAAAAAATTGTTTTCAATAATTTTTTTAAATTCATATTGTGTTGAAACCTGAAGACTCTCTTTACACAAATTCATGTATTTATAAAACACACAAAAATTATTTTATTTTTAGTACAGATTTCTGAACGCGTAAAACAGGATCTACGCTTGATTTATTCATAACAATTTGTTTACTTGTAGGAAGATGGGTGTTAGTGTGTACACAACACGAGAATGGCGAGATTCTATTACTAAGTGGGTGGTCTGTTAAAATATTGAAGAAAAAAACCGCAAATAATTTGGAAATAACTATGACAGTGTCAAGTGTGTGGTTGTGTGAGCAATGTTTTCATTTTTTACTTTTAGTCTGTGCGAGGTTTTGGTGGGTTTTGGTAGGTCAGAAGGGGTGGCGGGAGAGGGAAGGGGTTGTGGGGGGGGGGGGGATTTCGAGGATCAAGATGTGTTGAACAAATACTTCAAACGGGCCTCAGTTCTGTTGAGCAACGTTTCTAAATAGTTATTGAAGACTTGGGCAACGTTGAGGCCGCGCGTGGTAGAGATAGCACCATCGTCAGCGGCCAATCAGCTGACGATTGTGTCACGTGGCCTTTGTGATAACGTCCCGCCTTGTCACCTATACCACATTGGCCNATGATTAAAACAGAGTAGGGTTAAACCTGAAAAAATACACGCAACAAAACAGCGAACGTGTCGGCAGAAAGCCTTCGTCAGCGAACAAAACAACAGAAAAAACGGTATAAAAATAAGAAATAGCACTAAGCTGGAAAGTAGTATCTGTGGGCAGAGATAGAACCCCCACCCCCTTTCCCCAAAAGATAAATATTTTCAACTAATTAAATTCATAACACTGTTACTATCATACGTTGGTTAACAAATGTCGTGATCATATTCTTATGACACTTAGTCTTTCACATATATTAAAACATGTGTATGATAAAGAAATGGCCTTTTTTCCACCCTCTGTCAACCCTCTCCCCACCTTCTGTCCACTCTCTGTCCACCGTCTGTCCACTCTCTGTCTGCCTTCTGTTCACCCTCTGTCAACTCTCTGTCCACCCTCTGTCCACCCTCTGTCCACTCTCTGTCCACCCTCTGTCCACCTTCTGTCAACTCTCTGTCCGACTCTGTCCACTCTCTGTCCACCTTCTGTCCACTCTCTGTAAATTTAGCAGTTGAATCTGTTGCTCGTATTCAGCAGTTGAATCTGTTGCTCGTATTTAGAAGCTGAATCGGATGCCCTATAATTTAGCTGTTAAATCTGATGCCCTAATTCAGCTGTTAAATCTGTTTCAATTATTCAGCAGTTGAATGTGTGGTTATTATTCAGCAGTTGAATCTGTGGCTCAAATTCAGTAATTGAATCTGTTGCTGTTATTTAGCAGTTGAATCTGTTGCTCTTATTCAGCAGTTGAATCTGTTGCACTTATTCAGCAGTTGAATCCGTTGATCTTATTCATCAGTTAAATCTGTTGCTCGTATTTAGCAGTTGAATCTGATGCCATTCTTCAGCAGTTGAATCTGCTGCTCTTATTCGACAGACAACAACCACCAATTGATGATTTTTCCACACGTTAAAATTCGGGTTCTCAGACCTTTCGAATCTTTATTCAGATCATTGTTTAATTAATGATTTTTGTTTACATAAATTAATTTATTTTATCAATTCAGATGCATTGTGTTTTCAAATTCATGACATATAGGGAATCTCATTAACACAAAGTCAAAAAAATACATTTTTATACGGGGCTTTGCAGCGTCAAGATATGATTCCACCAAATAAGTTTAATTTTTACAGAGTAATTTAATTTTTTTTAAAAATCCACAGTGAGTAAAAATATCGGCAACGTGTCAACTCCATGTGCCAGAGCCTGTCAGGTGACCTTGACCTTATGATCCGTCACGCCTCGTCACCCAAGCCTCCCATTTAGGGCCGTTGAAAGTAGAGAAATATATCGAGTGAACCGACACGCCCCCTTGCTGTCCCCACTGAGCGGTCAGCGGTTCGGGCGGGGGCGTTCGGTTTTGTTATAACTGACCAATGGCCAGGGACTCGTTGCTGACCTCGTGGCTGGACTCTCGTATTTAAGGCGCAACTTCAGTTCGATTTCAAACACTGTCAGCCGTTCAACCTACCGACACTGTCACCGTATCACCGAGTTATAGATCTGTCTCTTGTTCATTTCAATTGTTTCTATTGGATTATTTTGGAGTTAATAAGCTTGTGATTATTCTGTTAGGTAAGCAACAATAGTTTTCTTAATTTCTTTACTAATGATTTATTTGTTTGAGTAGTTTAATTGTTTACGCCCTTTTTTAACCAAAAAAAAATTATAAAAACCTTTAGCTTATCTTCTTGATATAGCCTAATTCAAGCTTACCGCTAACTTTTCAGTACACAAAAAAATGGCGCAAATTTCTACAATCAAAAACGCCATAGTCATAAATATAACAGTAATTACGTACGTGTATTTTAATTGTTTGTTACATGTAAAGTGACAGTATTGCTAAAATGTTTTACGGGTGACGATCAAGCGCTAATCTAAAATGATTAATGATTTTTTTTTAACCTCCGATAGTATCAGTTTAAGTATTCAGTTACAATCATATAAAGTACTCAGTATCAATCGTTTAAAGTACTCAGTTATTATCGATCATTTAAAGTAAATTTAGTATCAATCATTTAAAGTAAGTTTAAAGTTAACATATACATTATTTAAAGTACATTGAGCATCAACAATTTATTTAGTACATTTAGTGTCAATCATTTATAGAGTACTTTTTGCATCAGCAATTTAAAGTACATCTAGTATCTGTCAAAGCAAAGTTTCAGACTAAGTTTATAATTTAATGACTATAAAGCCTAAATGAATTTGTTTTCCGATAGAGAGAAATCAAGTTTACCATAACGTAAGGTCCCTAATCAGAGTGCCTGTTGACATTTCAGAAGATGGCCAGGACAATTGATCGCATCCTTCTTGCTATACAAAAGTTTTCAAGTGAAGATAATACAACTACATCAAATGATATCATGGCGGCACAAGAGTCTTCTATTGACACCATGTCCTCATTGAAGGTAGCAATAGTTGATATACCGTCCAACAAGTCTGATTTTGATAAGGTGCCCTTAACTAAGTCTGCCTTGAAAGAGGTGCCCCAAGCTAAGCCTGCCGTGGATGAGGTGCCCCAATCTAAACCTGCTCTGGTTAAGGTGCCCCAATCTAAGCTTGCTGTGGATAAGGTGCCGCAATCTAAGCCTGCTGTGGAGAAGGTGCCCCAATCTAAGCCTGCTGTGGATAAGGTGCCCAAATCTAAGCCTGCTGTGGATAAGGTGCCCAAATCTAAGCCTTCTGTGGATAAGGTGCCCAAATCTAAGACTGCTGTGGATAAGGTGCCCAAATCTAAGACTGCTGTGGATAAGGTGCCAAAATCTAAGCCAGCTGTGGATAAGATGCCACAATCTAAGCCTGCTGTGGATAAAAAAGCCCAGTCTAATCCTGCTGTGGATAAGATGGCCCAGTTTCAGCCTGCTGAGGATAGGATGCCACCATTTAATCCTGTAATGGATAAGATGGCCACATCTAAGCCAGCTGTGGATAAGTCGGCCAAATCTAAGCCAGCTGTGGATAAGTTGGCCAAATCTAAGCCAGTTGTGGATAAGTTGGCCAAATCTAAGCCTGCTTTGGATAAGATACCACCATCTAAGCCAGCTGTGGATAAGATACAACTTTCTAAGCCTGCTGTGGATAAGATACCACCATCTAAGTCTCCTGTGGATAAGATACCACCATCTAAGCCTTCCATGTCTACCATGTTACCATTTAAAACTGATTTGGCCACCGTACAACGTTCTAAACTTGCGATGGCTATCATCGCCAAAAACAAGGCCACTGTTAGTGCGATTCCCCGCTCGATGTCCAAGTCTGCAGTGGATACTATGCCGCAATCTGGGTCTGCTGCTAATCCTGTGGCTAATCCAGGAAGAGAGAAATCATTTGCCTCATCACCTAGTGCCCAGCATCAGCTCTTAGCTCCGTCGGCGTCGCTGGATGGCAATCCTGAACACCTGGACAATGCGCTAACAGACAAAAACTGCCGTCGTGAGATTATGCCGGTCATCATGGCAACTGAGCCGTCCAAAAAACTCTACCTGGGTCGTTACGTTGTTAAAAAGTCAAAAAATGTAAGTCTGTCAACAGACAAGGACGCTCTGTGTCAGACTTTGGGGAGAGCTACCAGCACATCAGAGTCTGAGTCTTCAGTGAGCAGCGCCAGTTCTGCGAACAGTTCACCACGTGACAGTATCTTAAGCAAACGGCCATACTGCTTTGAGAAGGGTCAATTCGATCGAGAGAATCTCTCTCCACCAACGAGTTCCAAGCGCACTGGTGGTTCCACGGAAGATGGTAGCGAGGCGAAGAGAAGACGCCTCTCAGACATTCCGACCAATCCACAAAGAGCTGTTGGTGAACCAATGAAACAATCGGAAGTCAAGCTGAGCCCAAAGTTTCACCACTTTAACAACTTGCTGAGAAACTTCCGAGTTGTCAAAGGCCGTTCAGGAGGCCGGGGACAACGCTGTAAACTTATCCCCAGCCAGGACATGGAGTCTGAATTGCTCAACACGGCCAAGTGGGCAAAAGACTTCACGCGACGCAGCTACGGGTACACGTACGGCTTCGTCGATTCCCACTGCAGAGTGGACGAGCTCGTCGGGTGCCTGAACCGAGACAAGGCCTTCCACACGGATTGCTTTTCCCTGCCCGTCAACGTGGATGGATTCATTGCCGCCTTTACCAACCCCAGGACATTTGCACCCAAATGTAAGTGGATCTTTTCTTTTTACTTTTATTATATAGGTTTAAATTGTATTCTTTTAAATTAGTGAATGCTAGACTTATAACATTTTTAATGATATTTTTTGTGTGTAATAAATACAACATCTAAAATTATAGCTGATATAATTGCCGATCAAATGCAGTTAGTGAAAATATTCATTGATGCACATATATATTGTCACTGTTTTCGTTCGTTTAGTACTTACAAGTATAATAGCAACTTCATTTGAAAATATTAATAAAGCTATTAATTGAAAAATAAATTAACATGAACTGATAACAGGACAAAAAATTGGAATAGGAAATATAACGGCATAATAAATAGTAAATAGTGCTTTAAAGTAAACTATTTTAGGTAAATGTCTTTTGAACCACTTTGAAAAAGAAATTTCGTCTTTCTTAACAAAAAACATTTTAAAAATATCTTTAATTCAGGTCATTCATATACATAAATTCAGGCTACTTAAAAATATATTATTGTTTATAGCATTGAACCCCCAACGCCACAAGTAAAGATCACTAACTATATGATAAAAATGATATGATGCGTTCTCATTCTATCTCATTTATACGGTTTTAGTCTTCTACGTCATGCGCCCCTGCAGAAACACACCACCCTTATTATTACCTCTCTTACAATCTTTGTTGTCATCATTTAGTTCATACGTCAAATTCACTGGATAAATAGAACATATTTTTGTCATCCACTGGAAATTTAAGTCCATGAATTTGTGAGATTTATTAATTAACATTTTCATATTTGCATTATTTTAAAATGTCTTTTATTTCATAAAGTCCCTGATTACGAGCTCCTCAAGTTTGCCTTAAGTCAAGATGGAGTCTGGGTCACCCTGGGATGCCCACCCCATAAAGCTGCCTGTTTCAATGACGCCCACGAGAGAAGTCTGGAGGAGGTGGCCAGCTCGACGGCGAGGGTGGTTGCGCTTGGACCGTGCGGTCTGGACCACACCATCGACACGCTTGATGGGATTCAGAGTTTTGTGTTCGAGGCCCAGGTCCGGGTGGCGGCCAAACTGAACATCCCATTGATCGTCGAATGCAGAGAAGCAGAAGATGACGTCATCGCGATCTTACAGAAGGTAAATTTTAAACAAACAAAAAATATATAAATGAAACATTTATTAAATTATTCTGAATCCCAGAGGTGTGTCTTGATTAAATCCTCCCCGGGGGGGGGGGGGGGTTTTCAAAATGGGTGAACCCCCCCCCCCAAATGACTTTCGTTGGGGTCGCGTCATTTTACACCCAGTAAATTTTAAACAAAAAAAAAATAAAAAAATGAAAATTTTATTAAATTATTTTGAAACCCGGGGGTGTGTTTTGATTAAATCCCCCCCGGGGGGGGGGGGGGGATTTTCAAAATGTGTGAACCCCCACCCCCAAATGACTTTCGTAGTGGTCGCGTCATTTTACACCACTCTAGCTACGCCAATTTAGTTCATTATTGTTTATTTTTGTTGTAATGTATGCCGATGGTTTACATAATCTCTCGCTAAAAAGACATTGTTCAAATGCTTTGGTCTAATAGAAAAGTTTGAGTTCTGAGGTCGAACTTAATAATATCGGATGTAAGTTAAATGGGCGTTCTGTTAAATCACTTCATCTGTATTCGTATTTTTTTTTAGTATATATTTATAGGGTGAGATACGTATATTAATTTAAGAATGTGTGTCAGTCTGATTCATTGGTTTGCTTAAGCTGTTTTTATATTTAATCAATTCACCGAACCAAACAACACAGCACCATGTGTAAACGATGCATAATCCTTTATCCTTACAGCACCTGCCCAAGACACAGAAAATTCACCTCCATGGGTTTACAGGAGACACGATCCTGGCCAATCGCTGGCTGTCCCATTACCCCAACGTCTACTTCGGACTGTCCCCGGCCATTGGTGACGTCAGCTCATCTAGGTCCGTGAAGGAGATGGTCGCTTCAATCCCACTCAACCGGATCCTGCTGGAATCTGGGGCTTCTCAAACAGTTCCTGAGGATTTTAGGGTAAGCCATGATAAAAAATTTAGTTTTCTAATAATAGTATTGGGGTTCCTTGTTTAGTTCCCAATTATCTTCTTTTTTTTTTTTAATGAGCTTACCAGAATAGCCAAAGTCCTCAGTTTTAGTTAGGTCCGTTCTACCAGTTTAGAAAAAAATGTTTTGACATTTTTATAAACGTTCAAGAAGCTCACCCATTTGTGCAACCACTCGTTAGCATTCGGATGTACATGCCCACCCACCTCCTTGCCCTTACAATGCCCATCCAGTTGGTGAATTGAGCTGCGCCCATGTGTAGTTTAGGTGCAATTCATGAGAATATCATAGTTTCTGATCCATCAAATATCTGGTCTTATACCATTTGTTGTAAAAGCTTATGGCGAGATTCTATCTTATCATGTGACAGATTTAATATAATGGTTTATTTATCAATCTTTGTAGAGATTGTGTATATTACTAGCGATTCTTTTATAACATCCCATCATCTTAATGTAGTTATATTTTAATATGTTTATCAACAAATCTGATATCGTCCTTTTTCAGAAGTTCGTTTCCACGGCCCATTTCGGCTTCGCCCTGTTCGCGGCCAAGGCGGTTGCTGAGCTGAGGAGGCTGTCCACGGACGCCGTGTTGAAGGCTTGTCGGGACAACACCAGGCAGATGTACGGCATCTAGGCGGTGGCAATGTGTACAAGACAGATGTACTTTAAATGAATGGTTCTACTGTGTTGAACACACATAATTTAACTAATTACTGATGTGTACGGGAAAATAATGAGGCAGCTAGATATACAACCCAAGTACGTCAGCGTAGCCTCTGGCCCTCCAGTTCTCTCACATTGTAATGGTCAATAAGCATGCCAGCAGGGATGCTAACAAGTGCACAAGGTCGGGATGCTAACAAGTGCACAAGGTCGTGATGCTAGCAAGGTCACAAGGTCGTGATGCTAGCAAGGTCACAAGGTCGGGATGCTAACAAGTGCACAAGATTGGGATGCTAACAAGTACAGGTGTTGAAAAGGTTTTTAAGGATACAAACTGTACCAGGTCATGATACCAACACCTGTACCAGGCAAGGATACCATAAATGTACTTGGTTAAAGACACTAACATTCACCCATGCAAATATATTAAGTAGATGTTGATGAGTGATGTCAAGTAGAGCTGATATATTTTCAGTTAATTATTTGGTCTCCCTGGTCCATTGCATTTCTTTTCTTGTTAGTTTACATGCATATTGTTTTATTTATATTTTTTTTACTCGTAGAAAACTACTTTGTCTGACCATTTCATTCCCATCCAGTGATGTCCCTTAGTAGTGAATTTATTACAAATCCAGGCAGCCATTTATATTTTTGTGAACTTTTTAGGATTTTAAAAAATCTGTTTGTTTTTTTTTATTTATATTTTTGTTAACACCCACCCACAAACTCCCATGAGGTAATTTTTTGTCATTGGCTTATATAATCATATTACAATACTTATATTAAAATTAGTAATAATTGGACAAGATATCATTATGGGTATATATGCAATGTAAGTTGAACATAAGTTACCCCCCCACACACACACTTTTATGTAATGGATGAGAATATCGCTAATCACACATGACATGATTGACATCTGCTGTAAACCTTTTATATCATGTCAAGTAATTTTATATAATGTGTGATGTATGGTTATAGAGCTGTAAATAAATAAATATTAAAATAAAAAATAAAATGAATGTCTGTTTGATTTACATCTTTTTAGAGCCGTTTACTCTCTCACTCACGTGTCACTTCTCTTTCTCGCTCTCTACCTACCTCTCTTTCCCCCCCCCTCTTTCCCTCTCAACTCCTCCGCTCCCACTATCTCCCTTTCCCCGGTCTCTTTCTCACCCCATCTCTTGCTTCCTATGTCTCCCTCTCACGTGTTCTCTCTTAATGTGTTGTCTCTTTTACTTTATTTATCTATTAGGTCATTTTTGTATAGCGCTTACCTTACAGCTCTAAGCGCTTTACAATTATTAAAAATATGTAAACTATTTAAACTGCTAAAGTAAAATAAAAATATTATGTTATGAATGTTATGTCTCTACTTACACCCTGAACAATACATATCAGGGGTGCTGAAGCAATGGTTTGAGGGAGCCTGTGTCAGGCGTGAGAGAAGATCCAGAAAATCAGGTTTATTTGTATTTTCAAATTAAAAAAAAAATTTGGTTGGTGGTGGGATTGCTGGAAGTAAATAGAGGAGAAGTGGGGGGAGAAGTTTTGATATCGCTGCAAACAGTTGAGAGCCCCTGATGCTAATGAATCCGTGATAGTTTGTGACTAGTGTATGGCTCAGTATGTTGTAATAAATATTTTCTAGTGCAAGAGGGTGATAAATGTAAAAAATGAAACAGTCTACTGGGCCCATTTTCTATATTTAGGTTTTGAATGACCATTTCAAGTTTCTATTGATATGACGAGAAAAGCAGTACAAATATTTAACAATTATTTATTTTAGTACCTATGCATTTAATGCAATTTAGCATCCATGCATTGCAAATAAAGTGTACAATGTATGTTAGTATGTAAAAATTTGATGAGAATTTTAGCTATGGTATGTTATTTTGTATGACAATATTGGCATCGTCTTTATTTAATGACACTTTAGTATCTACATTTGATGACAATCTTAGTACCCATATAATATTATTTCATCGCAGTCAATTTTTCCATGACTATTTTAGTATCTACTTATTTGATGACAATCTTAGTACCCACATATTATTATTTCATCGCACTGAATATTTTTTTCATGAAAATTTTAGTACCTAATTATTTAATTACCAATAAGAATGATCTACATGTGTACATTGAAAAGAAATACTCATACCTTTATATTTTCACTTATCAAAGTTTAATGTGGATGGCTGGGCGCTTTCCCCTATGTATGACTTGTAACTGGAAATATCTTGGTATTATTATGACGCGATGAAAACTATTTCCATGCGTTAAGTTTTTTAAATGTATCTTTTTGTAAGTTATACAATTTGACCATGATTGTTTGTGGTGACCAATCATTTTAATTGCTTTACTTAAAGACGAGTGCTTTTTAAAACAGTTTTTATTTGTGATTAATGAGAAAATTATCAAATAAAATTGAGTTCTCTATACAAATTTAGGAATTTGTTCGTTCAAATTTCATTTGTTACGCTTTAATAAGCCATGATAGACCCACAGTGGGATAACTTTGTGCAATCATGTGTACGCTTTTTGTGTTCTGATAGCAAAGTTTGATTCGTGAGACAATCTGTGGCGTAAGTTATATGCTCATACAAAATAGTGTATTCCAGGGAGCATCATTTGCGACGTTATGACTCATATAGAGGCTGATTTGCTGAATAAACTTCTGTTTACTTTATGTGAGCCGTGTTTGTAAATGGGGTGTAATTTTACTTTTGTATTCTACATCAAATATATGCTTGTGTTTCTGGTTCAAAGATTTAACAAGGGTCGTGTACTTGGAGGTAAATATTTGAATGAGAGGTGAGGGGGGGGGTATTTTTTATGTGTTTCGAGGGGCAGTATATCTTATAGCGCCAAATCAGACAAAATGGCACCCCCGTGTAAGCTATAAACATCAACGCCCCTGCTAACACCTGAATTTATTCCGGTTGTGGCGCCCATCAGTAGTGTGCGTTTAGCCCTAGCCTAGTTTCGCCCCTGGAATAAATAGTGTAACTAAAAATAAATCCATACTAAATTAGAGCAAACTAATACCTTTGCCAACATACGAAAATACCATAGAGGGTGCCGACGAGGGTGAAAGGTCTGGGAGAGTTTAGTGAGCCGTGAGAAAAGACACTGCTAAAATCATATTTATTTATTTATTTAGGCATTTTTATATAGCGCTTACCTGAAAGCTCTAAGCGCTTTACAATTATTAAAAACATCTAAACTAAGTAAAAAAAAAATTAGACATTAGGATAGTAACTACTATACTATAGAAACAATTAAAATGGCTATAAAAAGAGGACACTTTGGCACGTTTTGGCCTATACTACAGGATCAACCCGAGACAGAAAATATTTGATCAAAATGAAACAAAACTATACTTTTTTGCCCTTTTGCCATTTATTTAAACAAAAAATTTTTTCCATGTTTTATACCATATAAAAATGAGACAAATAATTTTTTTGGAATATTGATCACTTAAGGCCATTCCAAAGAGGTCACTTTAAAATATATTGTCTGTAGTGTCATAATTATTTCAAGAGGATTTGAGATATTTGCAAATGGCGTTCTATATTGATCTATTTATTTTAGATAAATGATTTCTCTGAGGGAAGTTGTAGCAATATAAAGCAGCCAACAATTCAGTAGACTGAACGTTTGAAACATTGCCAAACTACCAAACCTTTCTTCAGATAAATTAACCTGAATCAACAACGTGCGTATTTTCTAAACTCCTCGATACACTTCAAATCTCCTTTCCCTAATCCCCAGAATATTACTCGACAGGACGGGGCGCGGTGACACCCCACGGTTAGTTTTGAACAGACACGGATAGACTCATTGCCGCTAGAGTTCAAACATTTGTATAGAAAAGGCCTATATGACCTGGGTTTAAGATCTTTCAAAAGAAATTGCAGAAATCCTCAAGCAAGGTTCACACGATAAGATCAGATGAATTCATCCAGCGTTCTTAACTACATTGCTCTCAAATATGTCTCACACTATACACAATTACGTCCCACAAATTACACAACTACGTCCTACACGATACACAACATTTGATGCAACTAAACTTATCATATGTATTTTATGACGCCTTGTCGCTTTTAAATGAAACACCAATAATGTAATCTCCTTATTTAAATGTGTTTTCTTTTCGAAAACACATTTGTTCACTGCGTTGCGCGTCTCATAGTTAGCAATGAACCGTGGAACATGGGATTCACAGTGTAATGCATTTTTGTTGCGAAATCTTTGAGAGATGACATCAACAATGGCAAGTTTAAAGCTTGAATATTTCAATATTACAATTAATATTTTCGCATTGGCATTGTTTTCTTTTAGGCAGGGGGTGGGCAAAAGTTTAAGTGATAAGAGCAATTTTGCTCACATTTGGAGTAAATACGACTCCCAAATTGATGCCGCTCTCATCAGAAATGGCGCCAAGTCAACTGACCATTGCGTCTCAATGCCAATATGGTTCGTCCGACCTAAGCATGTAAAGACGTGATACGCATCATGCTCAATCAACTGACCATTGTGTCACCTATCCAATGTGGTTCGTCCGACGTAAGTTTAGGGTAGCCACGTGGGAAGTAGCTAGCTCCATCAACTAAAAACTGGGTCACAGGTTCATGTGGTACGTCTCTACTAAGCTTAAATTACAACGTTAGACGTATCACGCTCAATCAACTGACCATTGTGTCAGCAGTTATTGCTGTACGTCCCAACTAAGCTTAGGTAAGCAGTAACCACATGGGACGTAGCACGTTCAATCAACTAACCATTGTGTCAGCAGTTAATGTGGTACGTCCCAATTAAGCTTAAGTAACCAATAACCACATGGCACGTAGCACGCTCAATCAACTGACCATTGTGTTAGCAGGCACATGTGGTACGTCCAAACTAAGCTTAGGTAACCACGTGGGACGTATCACGCTCAACCAACTGACCATTGTGTCAGCAGGC